TAAAGGAAAGCTTCCTATATCTCTTTTTAGCATAACTCGGGATTCATCTCCCATTCTCCTATTTTAAAAATGCAAAGAATTAAATTCAATTTTGAGATGACCCCACATATCAGATTTTTGAAGCTTTTGCTCCCCTTGCAACCTTTCATTCCCCCTTAGTAGAACTCTAGGCCTAAACAGGTAACTTAGGGTGAACAGAAATACACCTCTGTTTATGTTGACATGGAATGAAGCTGTAAGGCCAATCCATTTTCTTCCCGTCCTTGGTGAAACATCTTGTTTCAAAAGAGGGTAACTTGGTCACGGGAAGAAATTCTAATCCATGATGCTATGAAAAAAGGAAATTTAAGAATTCTCTTCCTAACTCAGTCTTCTACCACCTAAGGGGTGTCTGGTTCTTAAAAAAAAAAAAAAAAAAAAGTAGTTCACACAAAAATACTGTGTTTTCAAAGCAAAATGGGATTTATTAAAAAAAAAATGTATACTTTGATGTTTGGGATGTGACATGAAAAGGCCACAGGGTGTTCCCCAACCATAACACTTAGAACTCAGAGGTTTACCTTTCTAAATGCCCAATTTATGGCAAATTTGAGCCACATTCTATTAAACCAAGGCATGAGGCTATTTTAATGAGTAAGAAGAACTGTCCTGTTGTCATGTATTCCTCACAGTGTACATCTAAGTCTTAAGGGCTGTGATGTTTGGACATCACTTGTAAAAGTCTCCTCTTACATCTCTAAACTAACACACTTTTAAAAGAGACCTTATGAATATGGAAAATGCTAAAGATTATGTCTATTTCATGGGTATATTTTGTCTTAAGCTGTTTTGTGGTTATTGGAGAGTAGATTTTTTTTATTGGACACTCGAATTGGAATTTTATCATTCTCTTTTTCTTTTCTCTTCAAAAACATTGTTTCTTCTTATGTTGAAGTTCTAATATATATTTATGTACTCACACATAGCTACAGATATATCTTTGAACGCACACACCACAGACGAGCTTAAAATATCTGTTTTACTGATACTTCTCGAAATGAGTGTTCTAAGAAGGAAATACGTTCATGTAAGTTTACATAAAACCTAAGGGTCTTTTTTTGGTTCAGTGTTTAGAAAATTCTTGATAATTTAGAATCTTCCACAATGGAAAGTAAAGCATTCAGTCACAAAAGCGGGGAGGATGAGACGCAAGGTCAAAGGGCATTTTAGAAACAAACAGCTGGACCAGTTTATTTAAACAGATACAGGGATGGGGGAACTGACCTCTGTTTGACTTATAGTGGGAGGAGCAAGAATGTCATTTTATTGCTTTGCCCAGAAGGAAAATGTTTTTGTATCTGAATTCACCCTGAAGCCATCTAAACACATGGCTTTACTGTATATAGCATAATTCCAGAGAGAGTATATAGAAGACAGTCTAAGATAAAATACACTAAATAGAACCAAATGTTGAGATGGTCTTAAAATCGAAAAGATGATGTTGTTTAAAAAAAATAAAATCTTTTGCTATTTACTTAAGTTATTTTCAGATAAAGATGCCCACCATGAGACCAGATAATATTATCAGTGTTTCATGTAAGTATAGGAAGCATAATCCAATAAGATTCTGAGAGTTTACATATTGATAATGTTCATTATATTCAAAAATCGTTCTAAATTTGTTTTCAAAAGTGCGATGTTCTAAGCGTACCTACTAATGTCGTCAAACAGTTTGGACAAAGTGATTAAGGGTTCTGAGGTTTTCAGTTTCTAAAAATTTTTATTTTATTAACTGCATGGATTCTCACCTTTGTATCTACATATCCTATAGGTAGCCCACCATCTGTGTTGTCAGTAACAGCAAATGGCTCTTGCCACCGAGACAGAAGAAAATAGCACCTGGTACCTGTGGCCTCTTAGATAAAAGGCTGTGATGAGGTACTCGCTCTCTACACGGGAGCCAGAGCAGGTGTGGAGTAACTGCATGTAATGATGGCCCCCGGAGACCTTTAGGGGCACACAGACAAACCTCAGCATACTGAGCAGAGAGTGTGGCCCAGATGATGAGTGGACGCAACACCCAAGAGGAACTTTCATTCTAGAAGGAACTCATTAAGATTCCATGGATGTTTGGGGCACCTGGGTGGCTTAGTTGGTTAAACATCGGACTCTTGATTTCGGCTCAGGTCATGATCTCAGGGAGGTGAGGTCGAGCCTACTTCGGGCTCCGCGCTGGGCATGGAACCTGTTTAAGATTCTCCCTCTTTGCCCCTCCCCTCTGTGTTCATTTCCCCCAGCCCCCCCCCCCCCCCCGCCCCGGCCCGGTCTCAAATACAAAAAGGAATCAGGGATGTCCAACCTAGGGAAGAGAGGGGAGAAACCTGTGGGACATGATGCATGGTGGGTATAGTTTTTGGTTCCCCCAAGGAGTTGTCCTGTGAAATTACCTGATTCTAGATCGAATAGTGCAAAACCTTCTCATAGTCACCTTGTCCATAGATGGAGAGCACTTTCAGGTAAGGCTGCAAGGGCTTTATCAGAAACAATCCAGCAGAGGCTACCTGTCTACTTGGTGGGGAAATCATAGAGGGGATTCGTGTCAGTGACCAACCCAGGTGACAGGGAAAGCCCTTTTCAAACCTGAGGTTTAATTTTCCTATGATTCCTTGGGTGTGATGGTCATGGCTTCAAACCTGAGTCGGTTCTTATGAACTGGTCTTTGGAAATCTGAACGTATGAGTGTGAAGGAAGCGATCTTTAGGATCCAGATAAGTCACTGGATCTTCTGATGCGTAGCCTTATCTTTGTCCATATGCACAAACAGTACAGTCATCAAAATTCCCAGTCTACAAATGTTCAGTCATGCTTATTCCCAGACTCAACAGTAGGGTTGTTGCCAGTGGTGACTGGCTCAAAACCAGCTCCTTTTTAGATATCTGGTTAGTCCGGAATATTCTAGATGGGTGGCACAGGAGTGGCCACGCTCTTGTCAGGATGTTGGGGGAGGAGGTGTTCACTACCATTTGCCAGCTGTATGTCATTCAGCAAGTCATGAACATCTCTTGGGTAACATGTGACCTCCAATAAGTCACTTAATTTCTCTGAGCCTTGGCTTCTCTTCTGTTTAAAAAAGTGCTCTTCCTATTTTTAGATGAATAGTAAAAGTCCTATCCACAAAATAAGATGTTTTTAAAAGGACTTTTAAAAAATGTTATCAGAGTTCCCTTCCTCTAAAAGCCTGCAGGTTATGAACAGAACCATAGATAAAGAGCTGGGTTTTCGTTTTTCTTTTTTTTCTCTCTCTTTTACCTATATTAGTGACTCTGAAAATTACTTTTGGTATATGTGGAATATTAATATTAAATAATTTTCTAATTGGTCATGCAGTGAAGGCAGCTAATGAAAAAGCAGATTTTTTTTTTCATTTTAATTGGTTATTTCACATGGTGTTTGTGCTACACCTGTGCTTATAATGAGAATGGAGAATTAATCTAACCTTCTGCTCACATGATTCCAATTTTCATGGTTTATACAAGATAATGATAACCTGATTTGCAACACAATTTGTTGTAGATCTGTGTTTTAAATATTTTTATTAGCCAGTTCGGGGACTTCATATACAAGACCTGATAAAATACCTATTGCCAGTAAGAGTTAACACTAATGGTGGCCTTTTAGTTAGATTCCAGTTTCATTATTGACTTTAATTACTTTTCTGATAATAAAAGAACATAAGGATATAGGATACTGAGAATCTTAAAATGTCATGAAGCATGTATTTTTATTTTAAGAACCTGTCCCTCTCTGTGTAGTGGTTTGTTTTTTTAGGAACGATTTTCCTTGCTGAGTGGGCATATTTACAAACTGGACTTCATACGGGCCTGTGGATCCTTGGATCATTATTAAACTTTCCATTGTATTTTTTTTATGTGCTGCTCGTGTCCAATATATTCAAATCGGAGTTGATAACTACAAGCACTTTACGTTTTCAGAATTTAATACGTCCCACTCGTTTTCTGTATCTGATACGTAATTCTTAGCATTACGCCATACGGGTGAATCTTCCGAGTCAGAAATTCAGACATCTCACAAGCTTGACTGTGTAAAGGCTTGTAACTCACCACTTAAAAGAAATTTCAGTGGCTGGCCACCTTTTGAGAGGCTGCAAAAATTGTAAAAGAAAACAAAACAAAACAAAAACAACCAAAATAAGCCTTATTAAGACACTTAAGTGACTTAATAAGATGTTTTGTTATACATTTCCAGGACTAGCTGGAGAAAGCAATAATATAAGTTCAATTACTGTATAGCTGTGACCTCGCCTTGACCTTAGACTTTGCATAAAGAGCCAAAAAAAAAAAAAAGCCACCCCAAGAAATCTCCACAAGGAATGCGTTTCTCTGAAGTCCCCAGCAGTGTGAGTTAGTGGTGATAAACTCCAGACATTCCCTCATTTGATGGTGTGCTCCCATCCCAGTTCATTATCTTAATAGTGGGCATTAAAATAGAATTAGGTTTGCAAGAGGTAGGGAAGGTTTTGATAAAAACTGTAAAAAAGAAGTCAGAGAACATAAGATTGAAATGTCACTAATTAGGAGAGGTAACAGATGCCCTTATGAACATCTTGCTCCCTCCACCAAATCCCCCCCACCACCCCCCCACACACACACTTGCCATTGAAAAAGAGTGGTGGCTCGTATTGTTTCCTGAAAACTCTGCTAATTCCCCCATGAAAAGATGAAATGGAAGTGTCCAACTGTGGTAAAACAGGCAAACATGAATCAACTCAGAAACCCCAAGCCTGTGCGCTCAGAGGTCACCAGGGGTTGCAGGTTGTGGGGCATGTGAAGCGGCGCCCAGGGCAGTGCAGGGGACCGTTTTTTGCCCAGAATCTGGCCTCGCTCTCCCTGTGATCCGCTTCTCCTCTTCCCCCACCTCCTCCCCCCAAACCCCAACCCCCCATCCCACCTCTGATGGTTTTGCTTAAGGAATAACGATTCGCTCTACTTTCTTGGTTACAG